AAAAAAAAAAAAAAAAACTTTTAAAAAAGAAGTAGATTTTGGCCCCCAAATAGAGGTCCCTTTGGCATTCCCTTTAGCATAGAGGCTTTGGGGTCAGACCTATTTGGGGAGGGCAGCTATGACCCAGAAGACAGTCACGTCACCACCTCTAAGCTGGGGTCCTGCTTTGCTGTAAGGATTAAATGAACTGACATATATGAGAAGTGTTTTACACAGAGCATGTTCTTAACAACACTTCCTTCTCTTCCTTGGGAAGCTAAGTAGGTTTGGAGGCTGCCTGAGGAAATCATGGTACCAGGTTGTAATCCTGGAACTGCTAGGAATGGGAATTCTTTATTAAGTTAATGAGGGTAATAAAGTCCATCTGTACCAATCCTGTGACATAGAGCAACAGGGGAGAAAACTTACCAATATTTTAACTTTACTTTAGTCAAGTCATATACTTCAATCACCTAAAAGAAAAAAAATCAAATTTTAAGCATTGGTAATGCTCTGCAGTTGAAAGAGATGGATTAAAAAGACATTTATAGGGGTGCCTGAGAGGCTCAGTCAGTTGAGTGTCCGACTCTGGATTTTGGCTCAGGTCACAATCCCGGGGTCGTGGGACTGAGTCCCTCATCGGGCTCTGTGCTCGATGTGGAGCCTACTTGAGAGATTCACTCTCTCTATCCTCCTCTGCCCCTCTCCCCAACTCATGTACGGTATCTCTCTAAAATAAAATTAAAAAAAAAAAAAAAAAAAAAAAGAAAGAAAAGAAAAGACACTTATAGTGGGGCACCTGGCTGGCTCAGTTGATAGAATACACAACTCTTGATCTCGGGGTTGTGAGTTCTAGCTACTCATTGGGTGTAAAGATTACTTAAAAATAAAATCTTAATAAAAAAGACATTTATAGAACAGTGAAGAAAAAAAATCTATCACTAGCCAAAATTCTCCTGAAGCACTGCATATTACATTTTATTCTCATTTTAAATCTGGAGGAAAAACTGATACCACACACACAGCATAACCTCTCCTTTCCCTTCATCCAGATTGTTGAACAGATGCCCATGGAGGCTGTGGGTCAAAGATCCTTTATCTAATCTACTGCTGGGTCATATAGAAGACTGTACATACAGTGGAAACCTCCACAGAAACAAATTCACATAGTATAAAGGTTAAAACTATGGACAAAACCTTGGATACTGAGCCCCCTTCCTGCTATTGCACACTTTGCTGCATTAAAAAGACCCCAGACCCAGTCACTTTCAAAATCAGCTTTAAAATACTGTGGTTTACAAAACAAAAAAGGTGGGGGGAGGTCTATCCTGCTAGAAAACAAGTCATATTAGTTTAGGACAAGTGTGACAATATTCAAATATGTATACATATCTCTATTGAAGGGTACCTGGAGAACATCAGTGCCCTTGTGTAGTTTCAAGGGGTTCAGCCTTTAATTAAATGCCAAGAACTCAGGGCAAAGACAAAGGTATTGCTAAAACACTCAGCTACTAGTGGTGCCAAATAATGAGCACTATGAAGTCTTCTACGCAAGAAACATGGCTGGCCAAGGCCTGAAGAACCAGCTACTACCCTCCAGTTGGGAGTTCTGGCCCTTACTGTAGAGGAACAAGCAGAGCTGGTTCAGTGTCTGTTTGCCCTGACAATATGGGCCTCATCCTAGAAGGAGCTGTGGGGCCCTGCATGCAGAAGCATCTGGAACTACCAAAGAAAATGAGACATATTAGTTTACTCTTGGCCAGACCTTATCTCTAACTTTGTTTAGTGGTCATAACACTGAACCACAAGTTGGGCACCTCTGAATTATAATGCAGCTCTTCTAATCCTACTTGCTAAGAGTAACTCCCTCTGCTGGGCAGACACAGCACTTCAATCAACTCTTTCCTATACTATTTGTGTATGCCATTCACCAGTACCACACTAAGTTAAGCCCTTTTTAAGGTCTGGCTCATTAGTTTGCACAGGAAAGGTACTCAAAACATCAGACAAGTCTGACTGTTACGAAGTCAGCTAAGGGCAATGTGAAACTAGAAAACATGAAAGGAGGTGCCAAGAGAGGTCATTAAAGGAAGAACAGGGGAACAGCTGTGATTCATAATAAGATACTCAGTGTCCCTTCAGAAAGCTCCGGCATGGCAGTATATCGTGCCAAACTGGTATATCATTTCACCAAGGCCAGAGCCCCATGCTGGCAGAGAGCCTCACCCTTTAGCCAGAAGCCTTGCTTGTATAGCAGGAACAGGCACTCTGCCTCCCTTATTGCCACCCCTACAGCTGGCCAATGACCACCCAAGGGCTTCCCACCACTCACCCTGTGGTGGTGGGCCTCCAGGATGTTCCTTCTGTGTCGCTGTCACCCACCTGCCAATAACCCCGACCAACATTTATGGGTGTTTCAACCCTGCCTGCCTAATGGGAAAACAATGGACCAGAGTTAACCACAGGGCATATGTAGGATGGCACTTGTGGCAAGAGACCCAGAGTACCAACCATCTTGGAGTCCTTCATGTCACCAGGAGAATCAACAAGCAGATCTGGCCCATGGAGCTTGCTGGGCCACAGGGACAAGCAGCTGGGGAAGTCTGAACTTCATGATTTACCACCCACTGGGCTGGAAAAGACCTTGATTTCCCCAGAGGAGAAGCCATGGCAGCAGCCAAGATAGGAAAGGAAAAGACATGTAGCTGTGAAGGTTGAAATTTGTGAAGCCTCATTCTGTAGGGCTTTCTCATAGGCAGGGAGTGAGGGGATGAGGAAACTGCAGGAGACAGCATCAGGGAAAAGTGGATTCTTTTTATTTTTTTATGTTTCTTTATTTATTTTGAGAAAGAGTGCACAAGAAGGAGAGGGCAGAGAGAGAGAGGGAGAGAGAGAAAGAATGCCAAGCAGGCTCCGCGCTGCCAGGAAAGAACCCGATGCAGGGCTCGAAGTCATGTAAGACCACGACCTGAGCTGAAATCAAGAGTCAGACGCTTAACCGACTGAGACACCCAGGCACCCTGAGAAGAGTATTCTTAAGTGCTTGGACGGAGGGGCAGGCACATGGGTCAGGTCAAACCTGATGCTGACCAAGGACACCTGAGAATCACTTCCTCAGTTTCCAGAGGCTCCAGCAGGGTCCCAGCCCCTCCTCTTCATAGGGACCCCACAGAAAGCAGAAGAGAAGGTTCTAATTACTTCCTTTCTCATTCAAATTGTACTTCTCATTCTTCACATTTCTCCAGAGTGTGCTCACACAATTTTCTTCAGCTTTTATCACATTTATTTCCCATATACATCAACAGAAGCTAAGTCATTTCTACTCCCAGTGGCTATCACACACTGGTAATTCGGGTTAAAAGCTTGGCAGACCACTCATCCTCTGTCCTTCCTTTGTCTCACTGGGAAACAGTACAGCTCACAGGCTTGTTAAGTTGGGAAATGCACGGGAAGCATTCAGCGATGCGCCTAATCTGTACCAAGTACTCACTTAATATTTTATACTGTCCTCATCATGCTGTGATTCTATGATGGGCTGCCTAGCCATCCCCTTTTGCTGTCCATGTAGGTTATTTCCAGCTTTTCATTACTATGAAAAGCCCTGCTATACGTATCTGTCAACATTACCTTCCTTATAATCTTCTGGGGTTATGTCTCCTAACGTGGACTTACCTAGCTAAAACAAATAACTCTTTGTAAAGGTGTTTCCAGATTAATTTTCCCTGATTTGTAATGAAGCCACACTGATGACCATTCTCTCCCTTTTCCCACTGTGAAACTTCTGGTCAGTGAAGACAGGATGACTGAGTCCACAAGGAGAGGCAAGGTAACTATGGGGCTAAGAATGTTCACATTTGCTTTTGAAAAACCATCATAGGGGCGCCTGGGTGGCTTGGTCAGTTAAGCGTCTGACTTCGGCTCAGGTCATGATCTCACGGTCCGGGAGTTCGAGCCCCGCGTCGGGCTCTGTGCTGACAGCTCAGAGCCTGGAGCCTGCTTCAGATTCTGTGTCTCCCTCTCTCTCTGCCCCTCCCCTGTTCATGCTCTGTCTCTCTCTGTCTCAAAAATAAATAAACGTTAAAAAAAAAATTAAAAAAAAAAAAAAAGAAAAACCATCATAAATGAAGAATTCCCATTCTGTGTACAGATTCCTTTTCCATGTTCTATCTTGTCTTCTTAGGAGCTCACTTGTGATGGGATGATGAGAACTAGGAAGTACCCAAGTCTTTTGGAAAGGCTACTCCATAACCTAACCAGGATAAGCACTCTGGTATGCCAATGCCCAGAGCCACATTCAACCTTGTGACTCTGAGGCATGAGTCTGGTGTCACATGACTAATCTGTGAAGCCCAGGCATTTGTAAATAATGTATTAAAAACATCCTGGAGTGAAACAGGTGTTAGTAAATTGCACTTGAACTTAAGACAACCCTATACACCATCAAGTTGTTTGTTTACATATCCTCAATGGGGTGAAAGAATCAATTCATCACTGGTGGTGTTAAGCTGTAAATTCCAGCATTTTAGGAAGAACAGTTGCGTTTTTCACCTTCCAAGTCATATTGCTTGACCTAAGAATGAAGTAAAGCAAGATACAAAAACCTGACTAAAGTCTTTTGATCCTATTCTGCAGTTAGGCCCCATTTTTAGTACACCTGTTAAGATCTGGGATAATTTGTGCCAATAGTTAGCTCTTCTCTTGCTTTCCTTAAGTTGAATGACTTAGAATCCCCCTCCCCATAGTATTCCCCAAAGCTTTTAACACTCTTTCCCCTCCACCTCTGCAGCCTATGATTGGAGTCCCTCCCAGCCACTTTCCAACCACCCCATCCCAAGCTTCCCTCTTTTTAGAGGAACAGGCACAGCTTCCAGTCCCCAGAACTGTGGTACACCGAATCACAGGAGTCTACCCCCACTTATGAGTTTCAGAAACATCTCACAATAGCACGTAGTAATCAGCCTGACATGAAACTTTAGTTGTCATTCACAGTTACCTTAAGCCTCTGATTGAAAGCATCAAACAGCAGTTTGATCCCGTCCTGAGTCAGGTTAAGGATGAGGTCATGGCTTAGAGGAGACTGCAAAACAAAAATAAAACACTCAACAACTTACTCAACAGCACCTACCAAAAATTCACAAGTCTAAATGCAATGCACAGAGAATATGTAAGTGCAGACAGCCCCTCCCTGGCCCAACTAACAAACTGTTGTGTGAATGCAGTGTCTGCTACTTCCAGCCTGAAGCTGCTGCTTCCTAACACTGGCTGAAAAGAGACTCCTTCTTCTAGGCTTTGAGAAATAATACCTGGGAGAAAGGGCCAAAATTATGTGAGTATGTAGGCCATTTTCTTTTGAGGGTCAGGGTCCACATCTACAGCATGGGTTTCCCTGTCAAACCTAGAGAGCAGTCAATGAGGAACGCAGGCCATGTAAAAAGGTCTAGTCAGGACCCAAACTTGGCAGGTAATGTTCAATGCATGTCAGCTAAACCTATGTCCATTTGTTCCCAAGGTTGTCTGTACCATCTACAGAAAACATATCCTATACTTTGACTGCTTCAGGCCATATTCCAGGACAAAGAAATACTTTGTGATGTTTATGTATGAGATGATACTCTTATTCCTTCCTTCCTTCCCCTCACCATCCCATATCACATGTGCTTCCTTCTGTAAAGCCCAAATCTAAGATCTAAGGAGTCGTATTTCTACATTTGCCCCTTCTAAGTCCTGGGGGGAAGGGAGCAGCAGCACAAAGCAGTGAACAGAGCCGGGCTTGGGTACAGGTGAGCTGGTGACCCTAACTGACTCTCAAAACTTCTCTGAGCTGTAGTTTCTTCATGGGAATACCATCATCTCTTCCCTCTAGGGTTGTTGTGGGAACGGAGATAGTAGGTCTAGATAGTAAGGTAGAAGGCACCAAGCATAGCACTGAGCATACAACACTGTTTCGTCACGTCTGTCTCACTTGCCTGCTTCTGTTCCAGTGCAATCAATTCAAGGACTCGACATGTGAAGACACTCCACAGCCCTAAACCAAGCTGCCCCGCAGAAGAAAAACACCAACATCCAAAACCCTGCCACTCCTTGAAACTGGCAGAAAGCTCTCAAATGTTTAGAGAAGTTTCTTTATAGAGCCTCCCAAGGCAGGCACAGTGAATCAAAGAAGTGTGGCTGTCAGAGACAGAACTGTAGGCTGGAAGGCCAGGTGCCATTGGTGTGGGCCTCAGTGGAAAAATTCTCTCCAGAGCCTTCTGGGATTAGCTAAGACTATCTCCTCCCTCCTACCCCACTGATCTTCACAAGGTAGCAGGCCTAGGAGGTACCACCATGCCTGGCAAACACTAGAAGAAAGAATGTTGTAATTTTCCAGTAGGTCTGTATGAATGTCTAAAACCATCAGGTCTCAAGCAAGATAACAGAATGATGAACTCTGACCTTAGGTCACTTATTCTCAACCCAGAACACATTTCTAAGAGGGCTATTCCACAGCATTAAGCAGGATGAAGCAACCTTTTAGCATCCTTCAAGATCCTTGTTTGGAGTAGGAACAATGGGAGGATCGGAATTTTCTTACACTCTCCCAAGATCTGATCATTTTTCTCCCGGCACTGTTACAATTCAGGACATAACTAGATAATTTTCAAAAGCAAGTAAATTATCCTCACAATCAATATTTTACTAGTAAATCCTAAGTATCTCTGGAATCAAAATATACATGTACTATATGGTGTGTAAGCAGGCTCTTCCAGTGATCCCAGAATTACACAGTTCTCCATATGAAATAGTTTAGTAAAGCTGTCTGCTCCTAGTCATTCATACTTTTCCCTCTAAGAAAGATGGGACCCACTTGATATGCACATTTAACCTCCAAGGTGTGATTTGCTAGAGATAAGAAGATATTTCTGAAAAATTTAATGGGGCCAAACTATTCTTTGCACTTGATGGGAAGCAAGAAGACAAATGGGAAGAAATGGAAAGGAAGGCAGAAGAGGACAGGACCCACATTTAAGAAGCACAATATCGGAGCTCTGAGAGACCATCTCCTCTTGATCCTCTTCAAAAGATTATTCTATTACAAGGAAACAATAACCACATTACAGAAGGAGAACCAGACTGGTTATTAACTTGTCAAAAGTTGCATAGCTAAAAAATGGGAAGAACAAGGATCTGAACCAAGAACTGGACTCAAAAATCCATGTTTTCCAGCTGATTCCAGCTCCTTAGAAGACATCAGGGAAAATGAGCTTAATGCTAAAACTATTTGTACCCAAAGTTCGGGACAACAGACAACAAAAGTAGTGATGGAAGATATAAACTTCATTCTTAAAAATTTGTTTAAAAAGTTTAAAGCCGGGGCACCTGGGTGGCTCAGGTGGTTAAGCATCTGACTTCGGCTCAGGCCATGATCTTGCAGCTCCTGAATTTGAGCCCTACATTGGGCTCTGTGCTGACAGCTCAGAGCCTGGAGCCTGCTTCAGATTCTGTCTCCCTCTCTCTCTGCCCCTCCCCTGCTCTTGTTCTGTCTCTCTCTGTCTCAAAAATAAATAAAAAAACATTAAAAAAAGAATTAAAGGGGCACCTGGGTGGCTCAGGTGGTTAAACGTCCAACTTCAGCTCAGGTCATGATCTCTTGGTTCATTGGTTCGAGCCCTACGTGGGGCTCTGTGCGGACAGAGCCTAGAGCCTACTTTGGATTCTGGGTGTCTCTCTCTCTCTGCCCCTCCCCCACTCATGCTCTCTTTCTCTCTAGAAAATAAATAAATAAACGTTAAAAAAAAATTAAGAGGCACCTGGGTGGCTCAGTCAGTTAAACATCCGACTTCGGCTCAGGTCATGATCTCATAGTTCATGAGTTCGAGCTCTGTGTTGGGCTTTGCGCTGATGGCTCAGAGCCTGAAGCCTGCTTCAGAGTCTGTGTCTCCCTCTCTCTCTGCCCCTCCCCTTCTCATGCTCTGTCTCTCTCTCAAAAATAAACATTAAAAACACTTTTAAAAAAATTACAAGTTTAAAGCCTATGTTCAATTTTATCTACTCTTGGAGCACCCAAATCTGATTTAACTGAATGTGCAGGAAGCTAAAAGCTCAAGAAGCAAACCCATTATCCCTATTTTGATGGTTGCTAATTGTCATGAGTAATTCCCTCATGGTCTAACACTGAAAGTCAGAGTAGGTTAGGGATGATCTGAGTGCAACAAAGTGGAAAAGTCAACATTCTTCACTTTATAAATGAGGAAGTACTTTGGCACTGTGGCTCAAGGCACCTTTGTCCTACTCCTAGAAGTCCCTTGTTCCGTGTTAGGTACCACAAAAATATCCAAGAACTTGCTTGGAGATTATGCATTCCCTGTCTCATGAGGACTCTTCACATGGGAACTCTTTCAGTAGGCTGGCAGAGGGGTATTGCACTGCAGAAAGTAATGTCTGGACATAGATAAGAGGCTCAACTTTGACACTAGGCAAACTGGAAAGACTCACAGAAATCTCACCTTCTTCTAGTCCACAACATTTTTCATGTCGAAAATAAACAGTCATTTGCTTTAGGATTTGAAACTAAATGGGACAAATGGAACTAAAATAATCAAAATGGTACTTATAAGGTATCAGAAAAGACAGTGAGAACATCCTGTAGCCTAGATAGGCTCAAAACTATTCCCTGAGGTTTGTGACACATAGGACACCATAAAAGTTGCTACACACAGCAACACATGGTCTGTGTCACAAAAGAATCACAGATTTCAGAGTTCAGTAGAAGGGAGATTGCATTTTTAAAGAGACAAGAAGCATCTTATTTCTAAAAGCCCATAATAAAATAGTCCCCAACTCTGCTTATAAAACCAAATACAAAAAATCCTGATGTTCAGAAAGTTCTCTAGTGCTAACGTATACACTCTTTCTGGAAACAGAAAAGTTCTTTGTAAGTACATGCAACATTATATTATAGGTGTTAATTCCTGGCACAACTGACCAACATTTAATAGAGACCACCATAAGTCAGATAAAAAAAAAAAAAAAGAGTAAAATATGTCCATTAATTTGGAGCCAATATTTTGATATATGATCTTATGTATCAGTTCATTCTCACCAAAGGAATGAGCTACACCTGTTTCTTTTCAAGTCTGGAGTGCTCTGCACTGCAACAACTCTGAACAGAAATGAAAGCAATCAACAAAGGCAGAAAAGACCATTTTAAACACAAAAGTAGAAGAGGCAAGCACTCTAGAAGACAAGACAGTCCCTGAGGTGACCTCCCACTGAAATGTCCCTGTCTAAGGATCAGCTAAGTCAAACACATCAAAAAACAAGTTCAGGGGCGCCTGGGTGGCGCAGTCGGTTAAGCGTCCGACTTCAGCCAGGTCACGATCTCACGGTCCGTGAGTTCGAGCCCCGCGTCAGGCTCTGGGCTGATGGCTCAGAGCCTGGAGCCTGTTTCCGATTCTGTGTCTCCCTCTCTCTCTGCCTCTCCCCCGTTCATGCTCTGTCTCTCTCTGTCCCAAAAATAAATAAACGTTGAAAAAAAAAAAAAAAAAAACAAGTTCAGTTATTATTGCCTTTCCAAACCTGACAGCACTACATTATCAAGACCAAAAGTTTCAGAGTCAAAATGTACTTGGTAACTGACCAGTGCTGGAGATTCTCCCATTCAAACACACTGACCCAGCAATTCCTGCCAGTCTGCCTCTCCCAGAGCATCAACCTCTGGAGTGACTCAACGATTAGGAATGCTACTTCAGTAAACAAATCAGCTACCACTCACCTGTTCACTGTAGAGAACCTGGACATTTTTGATGATGCGACAGTGCTTCTGAAGAATGGCTACTGCTTGAGCCAGAGGCATTCCTGAAATAAAGCAAGAACAACTGTGTGGTTACCTGGGCTATCCATTTACTGACATTTATCTTTGTACTAGACCCTGCAGTAAAACCTGGGGTGGGAACAGGGGCCATTAAGGTCTACAAACATATGAGTAAATAAAAGTTTAGTAAGCAGCAAAAGCTAGAATAAAGTCAGCAGCAAGTACTAAGGGAACAGTTGGGTTGTATAAGGGAAGGGAGTGAATACACAAAAAAGATTTCTGGAAATGGGAACTACTATGCTGATCCCAAGCAGAAAAGGGGCTCAGAGAAGGCAAAGTCAGCATGAACCAAAAAACAGTGAGAAAAGCACTGACTGCATGACTCTGGATATGGAGACCAAGGTTCTGGTTCTCACTCTTCTGTGAATTACATATAACCTAGGGCAGGTTCCTTCCTCTCTTTCCTTCTGGCATGTCTCCTCATCTCTCAAATGAGACTCTGCAGGAGCACATGACTTGTAAGAGCTCATTAAAAAATTTTTTTTTGTTTATTGAGAAGAGAGAGAGCGAGAATTCTAAGCAGGCTCTGCACTGCCAGCACAGAATCCAATGCAGGGCTCAATCTCACAAACTGTGAGATCATGACCTGAGCTAAAACCAAGAGTCAGGCGCTTTACCGACTGAACCATCCAGGTGCCCCTGGATGTGTGATTTTTAACTTTTTATTTCTAAAATAATTAATTTTTTAATGTTTATTTTTGAGAGAGAGAGAGAGAGAGAGAGAGAGAGAGAGATAGATATGGAGGGAGGGAGGGAGGGAGGGAGTTTGGGAGAATGGGGGAGGAGCAGAGAGAGGGAGACACATAATCCAAAGCAGACTCCAGGCTCTGAGCTGTCCGCACACAGCCCAATGCGGGGCTCCAACTCATGGACTGCGAGATCATGACCTGAGCTGAAGTCAGACACCTAAGCGACTGAGCCACCCAGGTGCCCCAATTTACTTTTATTTAACTTAAAAAAAATTTTTTTTTTCAACGTTTATTTATTTTTGGGACAGAGAGAGACAGAGCATGAACGGGGGAGGGGCAGAGAGAGAGGGAGACACAGAATCGGAAACAGGCTCCAGGCTCTGAGCCATCAGCCCAGAGCCCGACGCGGGGCTCGAACTCACGGACCGCGAGATCGTGACCTGGCTGAAGTGGCTGAAGTCGGACGCTTAACCGACTGCGCCACCCAGGCGCCCCTTATTTAACTTTTTAAATGAGCCCTTAGAGGGGCACCTGGGTGGCTCAGTTGGTTAACTGTCTAACTCTTGGTTTTGGCTCAGGTCATGATCCCAAGGTTCATGAGACTGAGGCTGCTTCCAGCTCTGCAGGCTCCTGCTTAGGATTCTCTCCCTCTCTTCTCTGCCCCTCACCTGCTCACTTTCTCTGTCTCTCAGAACAAATAAATAAACTTAAAACATCACATCTACCAGAATTCATTTTACTAAAGATTTCACTGGATCCTTACTTATCAACCCACAAATCCTCTAAATCTTAATACCTGATTGTTGAACTCATGGCCCATTGTAAACAAATTTATATATGCACCCAGTTTAAGAAATCCAAATGCCAACAATATCTCTAAGATCCCAGGACTCCTAGGGAATACCAAAAAGTATGTTTTCAGAGTCCATTATATTTCAAACAAGAAAAAACTCAAAGAGAGACAATCCAAAACAAAGTCTCAGACAAAATCCAAAGACTCACAGCTTTCTGAATCCAAGGACAGTATGTGCTATTCACCACTCTCTGGATCCCCAGTACCCAGTACAGGGCTGACCACACAGTGGCTGTTGAATAAATATTTATTCAGCAGAGCTGAAGGATTATGGAGTAGGTAATAAGAGAAAGGGAGAAAGAGGGACCACCATATGACCTCAGGGAAGCACACAGTGGCTTACATTCAAGATCAGTTTACCTCTGATCTTCGGACAGATGTGCAGAAAAGAGCTTGCATACAAAGAAAAAGAAGGTTATAAAAATGCATGGTCTATCTACATTTAAACAATGATCTAACCTTGCCTTCATTTGATGGTCCATTCTATAATTTGAAGAAAGTTGGAGGACACCACACCTTAACACAGGCTCTTTCCAGCCTTCGGTAACATAGGGCTTGATACATAGTAGAAGCTTAATAAATGTTTGTTGAGAATATGAACAAGTTGGATGCATCACTCAGCTTTGCCATTCCTGAAATGGAGAAGCATCTATACTCTCCCAGAAGGAATGGGCAAACATCCATGTGGAGAAGACAGATAAGCTTGGTTATGTGCTGAGAAACAGAAGGCCACATGGTTTCTCTCACCTACATAGCACAAATCAGTTTCTCAAGAGAGGATTCTTCTCCACCTAACTACATCAAATCCCTGGCCTTGGAATCTTCGGATCCTCAGGTCTTCAGTCACCTGGGGAGAAACCCCATCTGGAGGAGACAAAGCATCTACAATGACCAGTTGTCACACAGCTGCTGATAAAGGAAGGCTACAAAAGGCCTCTAAAGGGAACCAAACACATGTATGACAAAGACACTAGAGCACTGTCCAGTCCGAACAGAGTTACCTAGACCCAAAAAAGGGTATGGAGTGTATGTCAGCTTTCTAAACTGTATACATCCTATGTATTATAGATCTCATCATTTGTCTGCTTACAACCCTTCAATGATTTCCCAATACGGGGTTATAAAACCCAAACAGCATGTCACCACCTAAAGTCCCCAAATATTCTCAATCTTATCTACCTCCATCTTTCTTTCCACTGCTCATCATGCCTCCCTTTGTTCCCAGCACACTTGTTAAGCTCTTTGCTAACTTAGGCCTCTGTGCTAGCTCAGATTCTGCTGGAATGTCCTTTCCATGGTTGGTTCCTTCTCATTCTTCAGGTCTTGACTCACATCTCACTTCCCCAACTGCCTTATCTAATGAAGCCTCCCATCCTATTTTTTTTTTTAATTTTTAATGTTTATTTAATTTTGAGACAGAGAGAGAGACAGAGTGTGAGCAGGGGAGGGGCAGAAAGAGAGGGAGACAGAGAACTCAAAGCAGGCTCTAGGCTCCGCACCGTCAGCACAGAGCACAACGTGGGGCTTGAACACACAAACCAGATCATGACCTGAACAGAAGTTAGATGCTCAACCAACTGAGCCACCCAGATGCCCCCTGTTTATTTCTGTTAGTCTCCCCTATACCTTGAGGATAGAAACACTGCCTGTATTACTCACTGTCATACACCTAGCACCCAATCACCATGCCTGGCACAACAGTAGGTGGTCCTACATATCTGCTGAACTCTAAGTGAAAAAAAGCTATTATAGGACATGTAGGTCCTGTACCATAGACCCTGGTGACCACTCTCTCACTCTGAGCACCCTCATTTTGTCTCTACTAACACCATTCTTTCTTGCTGTTCCTCTAACTTCCCCAGATCTCTATGATGGGCAATGTTTCCTTCTGCCCATCCTTCATACACTCATCCAATCAACCACCTAGTTTCTGATTCATATCTTATTCTGCTTTCTATATATCTATATATCTACATAGATATCTACAGGCAAATAGGGCCACCTGGGTGGCTCAGTTGGTTAAGCATTTGACTTCGGCTCTGGTCATGATCTTACGGTTCCTGAGTCTGAGGCTGCATCGGGCTCTGTGGTGACAGCTCAGAGCCTGAAGCCTGCTTCAGATTCAGTGTCTCCCTCTCTCTCTGCCCCTTCCCTGCTTGTGTGCTCTCTCTCTCTCTCAAAAATAAACATTAAAAAAAAAAAAAAGGCAAATAAAAAGTTAACAGATTAAAAGAGACTTTTTCACCTTCTTTTCAATCTGAGTTCTCCTCTGTATTCTGGGTCTCCATACCTCTAACATCTACCCAGTCACTCAAGCCAGAAACCTCTAGATTCCTTCTCCTTCTCCACCTCCCCAAATCTAGCCTCTTTCTTCCTAAACCTGTGTCTGCAACACACTTCACTAATAGATACCCTCTTTTCCAGTGGACCCAAAAGCTCCTTGATAGTGTCCCAGGCAGCTATCACGAGAAAGAATTGGGAATTTGGAGAACCCATTTTCTTCTTCCACCAGTACATCACACTCTCATTATAATACCAAACTGCTTATAGTTCCCTACACACACTATCTTTCCCAGTGTTTTGTTTTGAATTTGACTATAAGATTTACGTTTATGGAGACACCGTAGAAGAGAAATCTGGTGGTAGAATTTCCTATTTAAAAAAAAAATTTTTTTTTAATCTTTATTTTTGAGAGAGAGAGAGAGAGAGATACAGAGTGCAAGTGGGGGAGAAGCAGACAGAGAGGGAGACACAGAATCCAAAGGAGGCTCCAGGCTCTGAGCTGTCCGCACAGAGCCCGACGTGGGGCTTGAACTCACCAACTGTGAGATCATGACCCGAGCCAAAGTTGGACGCTCAGTCGGTTGAGCCACCCAGGCGCCCCTAGAATTTCCTACTTTTAAGTTTGTTTGTTTGTTTGTTTACTGAAAGACAGAGGAGAGAGAGTGTGTGCGTGCAAGTGGGAGAGGGGCAGAGAGAGAGGGAAAGAGAGAGAATCCCAGGCAGGCTCTGTACTGCCAGTGCAGAGCCCGATATGGGGCTTGAACTCAAAAACGATGAGATCATGGGGCACCTGGGTGGTTCAGTCGGTTGGGTCATGTTCTCATAGCTAGTGAGCTCAAGTCCCACATCAGGCTTTGTGCTTACAGCTCAGAGCCTAGAGCCTGCTTCGGATTCTGTGTCTCCCTGTTTCTCTCCCTCTCCCCTGCTCATGCTCTCTGTCTCCTTCAAAAATAAATAAGCATTTAAAAAAATAAAAAACAGGGGCGCCTGGGTGGCGCAGTCGGTTAAGTGTCCGACTTCAGCCAGGTCACGATCTCACAGTCCGTGAGTTCGAGCCCCGCGTCAGGCTCTGGGCTGATGGCTCGGAGCCTGGAGCCTGTTTCCGATTCTGTGTCTCCCTCTCTCTCTGTCCCTCCCCTGTTCATGCTCTGTCTCTCTCTGTCCCAAAAATAAATAAAAACGTTGAAAAAAAAATTAAAAAAAAAAAATAAAAAACAAAAACAAAAATAAAAAACAAACCATGAAAGCATGACCTGAGCCAAAGTCAGCCACTTAACCAACTGAGCCACCCAGGTGCCCCATGGCAGATTTCTGATAGGGCTTTCCTGGTGCTCACTGGCTCCAGGAATGATATTGACTTCTGTAGTTTGATAGGAAGCCCTCCCTGAATCCCGTCAGGTCAAGTCCCTTCTCCCCTTCCAAAGCACCCTACATGACCTCTCCCTCATTTTAATAAAATGAACTATTTCTTTATCCCTTAACCCACATGAGACTAACTTCTTCAGGGCACAGGAGCATTTCTTATTCAACTTTTGATGTTAGTAAGCAGAGTCCGCAGGGGTACATATGTTGCCTTCAACAGAGCAAGCCTTCAGTCTCTCTAGAACAATTTAGAGATATGCTTCCACACCAATACATTCTCCAAGTCTTACTGAAAACATTTCAAGTTTGCACTGCCTTTACTTCACCATTAGTCAAGCCATCAGTGGCATTACCAGAGAGTCCTCTTTGCCTAGGTTTGCCTTTCCCTATGTTGTTGGCATTTCCCTAATCTCCCAACATTACACAAAGGCCAGGAAGGCAGCCAAGAAGCTGGATGCAGATCCCCACTGTGATGCCAAGCAGATGATGGCAAGGGCTTGATGCATCTGCATTTGCAGAGATTCCAAAAAGAAACCTAGAGACAAAGCTGAGCCCATCCTTAGAAGGGTAGAGGGGTGGGAAGCAGGGAATCCCTGTTCAGCTACCTACTTTTCATCATCTCTACCTTTCTGAGCCTGCTCCTCATCTGGGAAATGAAGATTACCTTACAGGGCTGTGGTAACTTTAGTTAAGCACTGCCTGGTTCTCTAGGAATGTAATTCTAAAGCATAGATCCACCTTAGACCTACCCCTACCTATCAGCCACAACAGCAGCTTAGATGTGTTGAGGGCTGGGAAGAAGACTGAGAGAGAGAAAAATCTTTTTTTTTTTTTTTTAAGCTTGAGGAAGTTAAAAATGACCATCATCTCTCAGGCAGACATGATTTAAAAATGTGGATTTTTAAGATCCACAAAAGAATCATCAAAGCCAAGCTGCCTCTATGAGGTTTCCCTCAAAGTTCAATTCTGGGCCCACCGTACAGAAATGCTGTTTTTGGGGTACCTGGGTGGCTCAGTCAGTTAAGTGTCTGACTCTTGATTTCAGCTCAGGTCATGATCTCACAATTCACGACATCGAGCCCAGTGCTGGGCTCTGTGCTGACAGCACAGAGCCTTCTTGGAATTCTCCCTCTCTTCTCTCTCTGCCCCTTCCCCCACTCGTCTGAGCACTCTCTCTCTCAAAATAAATAAACATTAAAAAAAAAAAGAAAGAAATTCTCTTCTCACTGTTGTTATTTAGACAATTTGAAAGAACTACACTAACCCTTGATTTCTGGGAACTGGCAAAGTTAGGAGTAAGGGTTAAGGTATCTAAATAGTTGACAGAAGAAACTTTGCCCTTCCACCCAGCTTTTTTTTTTTTTTGAAATCCTGGTTTCAAATAATATCTTTATTTTATTTTGAGTAAACTCTGGCCCCAACATGGGGCTCGAACTCACAACTCCTGAGGTTAAGAGTTGCATGCTCTACTCATTGAGCCAACCAGGCACCCCTCAACTTTTGGCCAAGAAACTACCACAGAGATCCACAACCTAGTCACACCATCAAGTACAGTTTGAAGCTATGGTTGTGGTTCTCACTCTGCCCTGTGAAGTACTGGTATGAGAAGCTGTGAGGGAGGTTCTTTCTTAACTAGAAGCCAAACAGCAACAGCATGATGAATGGATCTGGAGGTAAATATATCACTGGCCTCCCAGTCAAATTCTTGGTGCTTCACAACAGGCCAGAGTGTTTCACACCAGCTAAAATTTGGGGAAGAACTCTGCAGGTGTGGTTTAAGTTATGAGAGAAGTTGGCTCTGACCACTCAATAAAACTGGCTCAAACCCAGAGGCTTGTAGTTCAGTTAGTTCTGGAAACACTGAGCACAGTAGGGTCCTACCAGCATCTATCCTCCAGTTCCTCATTTATGCTATCTCCATAGATGAGTATTCCAGATTCAAGGATAAGCTATAGCCCAAAGGAGTAGGTGACTCAGCCCAGTAGCCCAAATTAGTGGGACAAAAGTTCAGATCTGCACAAACAGCACCAACACCTGGTCCACACCCCTTTTTCCTAGTGCTGGATAAGTGTAAACACACACTGGACTTACTGAATGCACATACTTCTACACATAAAGGCAGCGACGTTGGGGGTAGTTAAAACTGGCCCCAAACCCCTAAAATGGCCAAACTGCATTTTATACAAACTGAACGTTACTTTCCCTGAACTCTTATGTCATTCAACCTTCAACTCTCTGCTAAGGTCTGGGTTTAGGATTAAATCACACATCGACCACATTAAAAACAAGAAACAAGTCACAATTTCCTTTAAGATACAAACTCTTCTCACCTCCCTTGACTAGATCCCTAACACGTGATTATGGGATCTAAGCCTAGGTTTCCCCTTCCGACAAGGCAACTCACGGCCCAGAAAAGCAAAGGGAGACAGACTACTGTGGCGTTTTAGAGTGTAACTTCTTAGCTATTAAGGGTGCAAAATAGAAATAGGAAAAACAAAAGTATGGACCCTCAGATCCCAAGGAGGCATACTTGAGGTAACTACGCACAGGGAAGGAGGGCCTGGCCTTGGGTAAGTGTTTGGGGCGTGTCCACCATTGTTATTATTACTACCTTACCACTGCCCCAGGAGGAGCCCTGCTGAGGCCTGAGGCGAGGGCATCTAGGCCAGGCTGAGCGAGACTGGTGGGTCTGGCCGGTAGGAGCAGGTAAGTTAGTGCCTGGAGCCCAAAGAGCTGTGAGGACGGAAAAGACGAGGAGCCGCGGGCGCAGGGGAATAAGAGGCAGAGACCAGAGGCAGGAAGGGCCTGGAGAGAAGAAAGAAGCATAGTCCTGAGGTAGAACCCCACACTCACCCAGCGTGAATTCCCATTGCTCGTTTCCCAGAGAGCGCTCCGGCACCACCTCCAGATCCAGCATTGGTTCAGTTCGCCGGGCCGAGGCGGCCTCCCTGCAGCAACGCAGACGGGACCGAAACTGAGGAGACAAAGCAGCGACTAACCCGCCGGCTCTGCCGGCGTGGCTCTCTACCTGCTCCTCGACCGCCGGCGGCACTAACCCAATACTACACCTCAGCTCAGCTCAGCTCAGCTCGGCTCACCGGCAGCAGCCTCGGCGGCAGGGGAAGCGGCGTTAGCCGGAGCGTCTGCGGCAAAACTGGCGTGCCAGCCGTAAAGCGTGGCGGGGGCGGGGCTAAGGCGAGATTTCAATCGCGGGGTCGGGTGAAGGAGCCCAAGGCGGAGTCGCGCACGCGCAAAATGCTGTGAAAGTCGCATAGTGGCGTGAGGGAGGCCAAACAGTACGACGCGGAAGGGTGGGTGCTTGCATAACGAGGGATCCCGTACTCCGTGAACCCCCACATCTGCACACCACACCATACACGTTTTACACGTCTGCACAAAGATGTGCACGCCACGCAACACACAAATGTGACGTGGTTATACGACATCTGTCTGCTGTCTACACGTATGTCCTACTGATACTGGGCGCAAAAGGCGACTTCTGAGGGTGCAACGTCTGAGGCCCAGAGGGGAGGGAGGACACGGACTTCAAAGTGAGTGCGTAGTGTGCTTGAGTGTTTGGGTAGGGGCAGGGAGGTGGGGTAGAGGGTTGAGGGGGGAGGAGCTAGGCCAGACCTCCCATTGACCTAGTGCAGATGTACACAGCCTCCTGGGGCCGGTATCCAGAGGTCGTTGGCAGCAGCTCAGACTCTAGCCAGAGCCAGCTTTGCCGTCAGTGCTGTGTGGTCTTGATCAAACCTCTGGTGCCCTTTTTGCTTCATTCTCCTCATCTATAGGTCGGAGGAGGGGCTCCTCTAGCCTGTTGAACCTGAGCTTTTGGTCCATGACCTGGGGCACTCAAAAACTACAAGGCAATCACGATCTCTTGTAAAGCTAAATCTTCATGGAAGCAGACTCTGGATTCTCACAACCACCCTGAGATGTCAGATTATACCTCACTTTACAAGCGAAAAAAATGAGGCACAGAGAAGTCAATGGCCTTGTGATGCTAGGCGGTAGAACCTGAGTTCTTTACATTACACTGCCCTTCGAGGAAGAATTTTAGCAGAGTAGAGAATGACATGCTAAATTCTCAAACTGGCTTGGTAGGAATGTAACTTGGGAGGCTCCATCAAAACTTGAAGTCACTGCTGCTAGCATTAAAACAACACGGAGAAGGATGTCCATTGCAGCATCATATGCCAAAACAATATAACTGAGTCATTGAGATGTACATCAGTAGGGAAGTGGCTAACTAAACTGTGATATAAATATATATATACACACATATATATATACACACATATATATACATATATGTATATATACATATATATGTGTGTATATATATATAAAAGAATGCGTTTAAAATTCAGAAGTATGTTATATCCCTGTATGCTGATTTAGAAGGAGCTGTAAGAGAAAAAAGGCAGGTGTAAACTGTATAGTATGTAAAAACAAATAAAAGAAACATTGGTCATACCAAAAAGAACATTCCTGGAAAGATAAACAAAAATTATCAATAATACCTAATACAGGGAGAGGCTCAGGGTTAAGGGGGACATTTACTTCTTACCATGCATGGCAAACATTAAAGATGTATATAGGCTATGAGGCACCTTGGTGGCTCGATTAAGTGTCTGACTCTTAATTTTGGCTCAGGCCATGCTCTCACAGTTTGGGAGTTCGGGCCCAGACTATGGGCTGATGGCATGGAGCCTGCTTGGGATTCTCTGCTCCTCCCCAGCTCTCTCTCTCAAAATAAATAACTTTTTTTAAAAAAAGATGTAGAGGGGCGCCTGGGTGGCGCAGTCGGTTGGCGTCCGACTTCAGCCAGGTCACGATCTCGCGGTCCGTGAGTTCCAGCCCCGCGTCGGGCTCTGGGCTGATGGCTCAGAGCCTGGAGCCTGTTTCCGATTCTGTGTCTCCCTCTCTCTCTGCCCCTCCCCCGTTCATGCTCTGTCTCTCTCTGTCCCAAAAATAAATAAACGTTGAAAAAAAAAATTTAAAAAAAGATGTAGATAGTTTATATGTGGATAGGATACGTTTAGGAAAGGTTAGTTGGGTGGCTGGCCTAGAATAGCATGGGAATAGACCTAGGAAAAACTTCTGGCGTTGGTGAGGATTAATCTTAGTCAATCTAAAATGTTTGAATTGAAATAAAATCCAACCTAAGATTTGTTCTTATATTAAAAAACTACTTGGAGGGATTTATTTTTGGTGAACAAAGAGGGGTGGGGCAGGTCGTGAGGGGTGTGGGAAAGACAGAGGCAGAGAAAGCCACATGGATGACAACATGAAAAAGATTTTTAGTCTGGAAAATCCAAGTTACAGGAAGAACAAGGGCAGGGAAGCCCCTAAGAAATTTCCTATCGGGGTGATAGGCAGATAGGTTTCTGTGAACAATGTCAGTCAACAACAAATGATTATCTTTGCTCATTGTGTTATCCCCAAACCTTTGGCTTAAGTGCGATCTACCTAGGTTTTTGTCAGGGGTGGGAGTGACAGTTCTGGGATGGTGATCTGGGAGGAGGCCATTGTTCAGAGCCTGGTACACGGCTCGGAAGTATGAGGGGCCTCAGGGGAGTAGGCCAACTTGGGAGAATGTCAGCAACTGCCATTCCCATCACTGAGGGTGAGGATGTTCAAATATATTGAATTGGCTGCTGGTGGACCACTAAGAGGGAGCACAGGTGGTATTTCAACAGTTTAAGCTGGGCAAGCAGGGACTGTCTCAGTTTAGAAAATAGATGTGAAAATTAATAAAAGGAAACTTGTTTAGAATGGAGACAGGGGGCCAGCAGGGGGAGCTCTCACATCCAACCCCTGATGGTCAAATGCAGACCCAAGGAGACCAGACGTACCTTGTAAATCCATATTACTTTACTATTTTACTAACCAAGCAGGTAGCAGGAAGGTTTCCTCCTCTCTGGGCAATAGCCTAGCCAATAAGAAACTGTCACAACTCATGAAATTTTAGGAATTTTAGGGCAACACAACCAGCCTGATAAGAAAAACTGGGAAAATTGTCAGAACTGTACATTTTCTCAGGTTTGAAATGTCTCCATGCCCACTAAGCTACCCCTAAAGTCTCTACTGGGTCACTATATGATCAATAGGACTTCGTGCTTCTAGTCTTCTCTCCAATCAACCAAAATGAGCTTTTTTAAGAGTCCATTCCCTCAAGCTCACAACCTTAGTGGTTTCCTGTTTGCCTGTGGGAACAGCCTCAGTGTTTTAACATGGCTTAAAGGTCCATTCAGCACTGCTTGTGATCCTCCCCCTGGCCTATACTGACCCTTTCAGATTTATCTCATGGCTGCAGCCTCCTTCATTTCCATGTTTCAGCAATACTCAACTGCTCATAGTTTCTCAAACTTACCATACTCATGCCTCGCTGCCTGTAATACTTTTGTCACCTCTTTGCTAATGTAATGTCTTCCATTCTTGAGATTTCAGGTCTAAGTCTAAAGGAAACCTTTTTTGACCACCTAGACCAGGTTCGATGTACCACCTAACAGTCAGTGCTTGCAGTGTAACTTAAATGTTACTGCTTTTGGGGGCATCTGAATGGCTCAGTCGGTTACATGTCTGACTCTTGTTGATCTTAGCTCAGGTCAAGATCTCATGGTTTGTGAGTTCAAGCCCCACATCAGCTCTGTGTGACAGAGTGAAGCCTGCTTGAGATTCTCTTTCTCCCTCTCTCTACTTGTGCTCACGAGTTCTCTTTCTCAAAATAAGTAAACATTAAAAAAAAAAAAGTTACTGCTTTTGGTCAGTTTTGAGCTTTGCTGTAGGTTTTCGAACGGAACTATGATACGTTTTAGGCACTAGATACTCATTTCCCCCCCAATAATCCTAGCAAGTAGTCATACTTTAATATTTTTTTAAAAAACAGTAAGCCTCAACATTTTCCTTTTTTATATTAAACTGACTTTTTTTGGTTGTATGATCTATGTCCATCTCACAATTTTTATATTGATGTGAACCATATATATGCAATTAAAAACCTCCTAGTAGCCACATTAAAAAAAGATAAAATTACTATCTTTAGCCCAATACATCAAATATCAATATACCCCGTATACAAAAGCATGATCATTTATATGTAATCAAAATTAAAAAAAAATTAGTGAACTATCTTACTTTTTTTGGTACTAGATCTTTGCTATCTGGTATTGTTAGCAGCGTGTATCAACTCTGACACTAAATTTTCAAAGGCTAAAGTGTAATAGTCCCCTAAAACAAAGTTTTAAGAGAAAAAATATTTTATATTGCCTCAGTTTTTAAATTTAAATAAAAAATTAAAATCAGACCCAGGGGCACCTGAGTGACTCAGTCAGTTAAGTGTCTGACTCTTGGTTTTGGCTCAGGTCATGATCTTACTTTGTGGGATAGAGCCCTTCATCGGGCTCTATGCTGACAGCATGGGACGTGCTTGGGATTCTCTCTGCCCCTCCCCCACTCATACTCCCTCTCTCTCAATAAACATTAAAAACAAAAACACATCCAGGAGTTCCAGCTACAAGATCAAGCATCACCTTAGCTCTCCCACTTAAAACCCCCTTCCCTCAAAACTTTCCCTGATTGACTCCCTTATTTAGGTCCCAGCAAAAATGTTACTTCCTGACACATCTTCTCTTCCCACCCTAATTCTGCCTTTGTATGACCTAATCACCATTTATACCATGATGCTATTTTAGTTTATTCACAGCCATCTGTCACCTTACCATTTAACTAATTACTAATTGTTCCTCTGCTCCAGCAGATGTAAACTTCATTAAAGAGGAACTTTGTCCATTTTATTCATCTCTAGAAAACTGCCTGGCACATAGTTGGCTTACAATAAATACTTGTCAAATAAAAAAAATAAACATTAAAAAATAAGTTCCTTGGTTGTACTAGCCCCGTTTCAGCCGTTCCATAGCCACACGTGGCTAGTAGCTACCATACTGGAGACACTGTGGATAGAGATTATCTTCTCTAATCAAAGATTTCTCTTTGTCTTTTCTACTCACATTTCCTAATGTTTCTGAAACCTGAATAAGGCCAATGATGACCCTAAGTTGCTGAAATTAATTCTGAGAGTTAACTAATACAGCAACTGTTTAAAAAGTATCCTATATTTTAAAAAGCCAAACTATGGGGCCCCTGGGTAGCTCAGTCTGTTGAGCATCTGACTTCGGCTCAGGTCATGATCTTGCAGTTTACGAGTTCAAGCCCCGTGTCAGGCTCTGTGATGACAGCTCAGAACGTGGAGTCTGCTTCAGATTTGGTGTCTCCCTCTTTCTCTGCCCCTCCCCTGCTCACACACACTCTCTCTAAATTAAAAACATAAAAAAAAAAAAAAAGCCAAACTACCATTTTCACCCACAATCCCATCCCCCATTTGTAATTTTTTAGCCTAGACACATTTTTGGAATGCTATATATGTATATGTGGTAGTGCTCTAAGAAAGAGAACTATTGCTATCTAGAGTTAATCATGCCTTGAAATCTGCTTGCAAGACTGAAGTATTTGGGAGATCAAAACACCAATGTTGTCTTGTAATACCCAATTATACACACACACACACACACACACACACACACACACACACACACACACACACACACGTGGCAGTGTGGCTGTGGTGGTTTAAAAATATGTCCACAAACTCTCACTATACCACCTTTGAAGAGAGATGAAGCTTAATACTCCTCCATTTGAGTTGTGGGCCTGTCCTAGTGACTCACTTCTAACATAGAATATGGCACTCCAAGATTAGGTTATTAAAAAGACTGGCTTTCATCTTGAATCACTAGCTCCATGGAAATCAAACTGCTAAGCTGTGAGCTGTCCTATGGAGACACTCACATGGCAAGGAACGGAAGGAGGTCTCCATTCCAAAACCTAGCAAGAAATCAAGGGCTTTCACCCAATGGTGTCTCAGAAACTGAGGCTAGGCAATGAGTGGGCTTGGAAGGGGATCCTTCAGCCACAGGCAAGCCTGGAGATGACTGTAGCCTGGGCTGAAAACTTGACTCTAACCTCAGAAGAGATCAGAGGTCAGGCAACTGAACTTCGCTTCTTCCAGCCTTTTTTTTTTTTTGAGAGTACACAAGTGGGAAAGAAGGGCAGAGGGAGAGAGAGATATAGAAAGATAGAAAATCCTAAACAGGCTCTATGCTGAGTATGGGGGTGGGGGTGGGGGTGGGGTGGGGAGGCTCAATCCCACAACCCTAGATTCATGACCTGAGCCAAAATCAAGAGTCAGATGCTCAACCAACTGAGCCCCCCAGGCTCCCCTGCTTCTTTCAGATTTCTAACCCATAGAAACTGAGATGATGGTTATTGTTTTAGGCTGCTAGGATTTGGAGTAATGTTTTATGCAGCAATGGATAATTCATACAAGGGCTTATAACTTGAAAATGTTCCCCGTTGCCAAATAAAACATAAATCAATTAAGATACTTATTTTCCCAAGTAACCCAAAACTGGCATATCCAAATACCCAGTTCTAGAGATGATATACTTACTAAAACCATGATGCTACTGCTCAATTTTTGAAATTAACCCTCATTATTCTTTGGAATTTTCCTTAATGGTACTAGTTCATCATTTGTATTTGTTATTTGCAGCAAATCTGGTGGTGAATAATGAATTGTTTCATTATGAATCAAGCTTAAGGCATGCTTCTAAAGTGAAAGGCTGGTGTAGGAAAAATGCCAAGAAAAGCCCTAAGCTGGGGTGCCTGTGTGGTTCAGTTGGTTAAGTGTCTGACTTCAGTTCAGATCATCATCTCACAGTCTGTGGGTATGAGCTCCACGTCGGGCTCTGTGCTTACAGCTTGGTTCTTGGAGCCCACTTTGGATTCTGTGTTTCCCTCTCTCTCCCTGGCCCTCCCTGGCTCACGCTCTCTCTCAAAAATAAACATTAAAAAAAAAAAAGTCCTAAGTCCTAAGTATGGTTGATATAACACCAGCACAATCAAACTAAGTGTGTATTCCTACAATGACTACCTTGAATAATGGTACTAATCTGAATGTGTAATTTTTGAAATTCTTCCTCTCCTGCAAAGTCAGTACTTCATAGTTGTATCTCATAGGATGGGTATATCAAACCAGATTTTTAAAAAACCATAATATACATTGGGCACTTAGTATTCTTTGTGATAATTCTATTAAAGGCTTTCTTTGAAATCAGTGGAAATGACCACTAGATGCCACTGTTGTTAAGGTTAAAAAAAAAAAAAAAAAAAGGGATGAAAGAACATTTCAGAAACAACCTAAGTCAATTTTCATGTCATAATGAGCACCAGAACAGAAATTGTTGGATAATGAAGAGCCAAGAACTTTTTTTCACTACACATAAGTTTATTGTGAAAGTAAATTAAACATACAAACATACAATATGGCTAATGGTGGCAAAAGCAATCTGGCAGCTTAAGGCAAGTTTTAATGGAGATGAATTTAGAAAAGATGATGCAATGATGTAATTTTGTTTAAATATAGATCATGGAAAAATATCAAATTGCATCAATAACTTAATAAAAGTTTTCAAAGCCTGCACTACTGGAGAAAAAGGGCTTATGATCTTAATGCCAGCATTAAGACAGATGGAAACAGCACTGTGCTAAATGACAGGAAGAGTCGAATATTTACAGAAGGGTGGCAATATGAACATTTAATAACATTTGATCTTAGTTACCGGTGGAATGAAAGCCCTTAGCTAGAAGCAGTAGAGGAAAATGTACCATCACCATCATGTTATTAAAAAAATTAAGTGCAGAAGTCAAAAAACCAAGGAGCTCTGTGATAAAGTAACCTTAAAACACCACTTTAAGGGCCACTTAAAAGGTGATTCCCTCAGGGGAAATTAGGGCACTGAGTGTGTAAACATGTGAACTGCACAACACCAAATACCAACCAAATTCATTCATAGTACTTAGTTACACAAGATCAGCATGGTCCGTTATGATGCATTATTGTTTATAACAATTTAAACACACTCCCTTACCATGCATGACTTCAAATATATAACAAATATTTTTATTCTGAGATACAGGATATGTTTATGAATCATAAGACCTATATACAACAAAAGTCACACCTCCCTCATCAGTCAAGTGTGTGTGTGTGTGTGTGTGTGTGTGTGTGTGTGTGTTTTAAATGCGATGACCTTATTCATACTTCAGTTCCTTTTCTGAATTGACCATGTCAGTTTTTCACTCTTTAAAATAATGTCATTCTATTACGATAAAATATATTTTTGCAAAAATTCAGAAATGTAGTAACATTTAATGAATGTGACCATGAAAAATATTTGTAAGGAGGTTCCAAATGACTTAGCACTTTTTTCCAGTCTTGTATTAAAAAAAAAAAAAAAGTTGCATTTAATTTGATAGTGAGCCTATTTTAAAAATATTCTTATACTAATTCATCTCAAAAGGTTCTATTAATAGTTCTTCTGGAAAATACCATATATATAACCTGTGAGGTTTTTCCCAGAATAATTAATGAAGAAAATGTATCCTCTGCACAGATGAGCATTTTCTCTCTAAGACTAATCTTTCATCACCCAGCATTGTTTTTACAAAAGCATGCATTATAAAATACACATAAAAGCAGCTATCTTAAACATGATTTTAATACAATATTACCTTGGTAGCTGATTCATCACTGTCTCCAGTTTAATATGCTGTTACATACATGAAGGAGCTCCAGTATCCCTTTTCTGATTGACTTAAAAAAAAAATCCCTGAATAAAACAGAAGCCAGCCTGTGACTTCTTTAGGCATTTCAGTAGAGTATTATCATCTATGGAGAGTATCTCCACACAAACTCATGATTACAGAACAGAATGTAAAACAGATCTGGGGCAGATTAGAGTTAATACCAATTAAAATTTTTTATGTTTAAGGAGGAAAGAAAAAGGAGCTGATTATCAACATTTAAAAGGATACTGCAACTTTAACAACTGTAAACTTTGTGTTAAAAGGCTGTGGCAGACAGCTCTATGCTACTAGGTCTTCAGCTTGTAAATAATGCAAACACATCAGCAGTTTTAAAATGCCATAGACTATAAAAACACAGAAACAAAACAAATAACCAAGAATGTCTATCTAAAATGAAGCTGTGTAACCAACACATCTAAAATTCCAAAAATAATTAGAACAACCAATTAGGGGGAAAAACCCTCTGAAAAAATTTTAATTTCTTGACTTGTTTTTAAATGACATAAACTTTTAAATTAAAATGGAGGAAAAGAGCTTTACAAGTGGATAGTTTCAACTCATTTAAAATAATGCCAACAAGGTAAGCTTGCATAGAAAAAAATGTCAAATTACTGGCTACATGCATACAAAATTAGAAATGCAGGTATTATAATCATAGTGCAAAACCATGGCAGTTTGTGATGTCTTGTTACTGCCTAAGGTTGAGAAATAGACTGCGGTACCTCCAGTTATCACAGTTTCTGGTCTTTTAATGATTATTTCTGCTGACTAGAAACAATGTAAATGTAAAGATAGGTGGGCACATCTACTGTGCTAATTAACGAAGTTTGAGGTCATCACCACCACCTAAATTGGAACCAGGACTAGGGTCTTGTTGTCTTCTTGCCTGCAATGACAAAATTATAATTTGGGGTCAAAACATGTTTTGAAAATCAAAGTGCTAGATAAATACAGTATAAGACACAGTAGCATTTAAAAAATGTTTACAACCATCTTTACATGTAAGAGGAAAAAGAACAATTTAAATTGTGTATTAAATATTTTGCTAAAGTTTCCAAAAAACCAAGAATAAAAATCTCATTATATTCAAAAGAACATTATCAAAATATGTACTATGTGTAGAAGAACAACAAATCCATGTTTATAGTTTTTGGACTACAGGGTTAAACACATCATCCATTTACCTTAGAATCAAACTTCCCCTTTGAATAAAAGCTGACACTTATTGAACACGAACTATATCCGGGGCACTGTTCTAAGCACTTTTCATAGATGAACTGATTAAAACCCTGTCAGCAACCTATAACATAGGTGCTACTGTTTATCTATTTTATAGTCACACAAAAGTATAGAGTCTACCAACTGTATGATTGAATAATGTAGTAGTGAATTTCATCTTACACAATGCCATCTCTGCCAACCAAGCTGTAACTAAAAATCTCTACCTCCGATAATAAAATCATTACTATGGATAAAGAATTGGCTTAAAAGCAAAAATGGGTACTCTTAGAGCTTCCACTAAGAAGAACTGCTTCAAGGAGGTCACAATCTAAGAGTACAAGTAAACAGAATTTTAACTCCTTTGATTATATACATCAAAATTGAAAGGCTAGGTTCTATTTTTCCAATGTAGAAATAATGGACATGACTATTTACAAATACCTTTATATGACTGCATAAATATGGAGGAAAGAAAGACAGGAGTACAACACGAAAATTTGTTATTTAACAAGTGCAATTCTTAAAAAATAACCTATCCCCCCCCCACCAAAAAAAAAAAAAACAAATGCAATTCTTAATGAATAAATTTGAGTAAGGGCCGGGCACCTGGGTGGCTCAGATGGTTGAATGTCCAACTCTTGATATTGGCTCAGGGCATAGTACCAGGGTTATGGAATTGAGCCCTGTATGGGACTCTGTGTTTAGCATGGAGCCTACAAAAGATTCTCTCTCTCTCCCTCTGCCTCTCTCTCTGACTCGTGCTCTCTCTAAAAATATAATTTTTTTTTTAATAAAATCTAGGAGCACCTGGGTATCTCAGTTGGTTAACCCCCAACTTCAGCTCAGGTCATGATCTCACGGTTTATGAGTTTGAGCCCTGCATCAGACTGTCTGCTGTCAATGCAGAGCCCGCTTTGTATCCTATCCCCCTCTCTCTGCCCCTCCCTGCTCATGCTCTCTCTCAAAAATAAATAAACATTAAAAAAATAATAAAATAAATTGAATAAAATTCAAAACAAAACAAAATAGGGAAAAAATTACAGTCCCTGATCCACTTACATACACAGAAGTATTTTTATAACAGTATTAACAACTAAGAGGTTAGACAATTATAAACACTGAGGTTTTCAAGTTTCACTTTAGAATAAACATTTCTAGTCAAACTGATGGCAAATTACTTAATAGAGCACATCTAACAACTAACAGGTCCTGCATGACACTCTCTGCCACTATTAAGTTTTTATGGAACCTAGTACCCCTGTGGTTTACATACAACATTAACTCTCGGTGTCTTTCACAAATTCCAGTGTGTGTTTCCTACATAAGCTTTCTTCAGGGACTACAAATGTCAGTGGAGCACAAATGTCTGACTGTATACAGAACCTGTTTCCTTCAGCAACCATGGTTAGATGATATTATACACTGGCAACTCCATTTTACCAGTAGTTCAGGCACAAAAGCCTGAGGTCACCCTAACACCTCTTTCTCTCACACTCACCTTTAGATTCTAACAGCTCTACATTAACCATATTCTGCATGTGACCACTTCTAACTGCCCCCACCTCTCTCACCCCAGTCTATGCCACCACCATTCTTAATCTGGATCTTCTCTGGAGTCACCTCTGATATATGCCAGTAGCTGAGACTTCTTCAAATTACCTATGCAATCTTTAGCTAAATGGAATACTGTACTATTATCGCCAACTGATTCTTCATTGTCTGTTTTTGGCAACAAATCTAAGCAAACTCTAACCAAAAGTTGAAACAGTCTCATTTCAGTTCTTAACATCTAAAACAGTTGTTACAGAAAGAGCATCCTTGACCTTCAAACAAGCATCTAAACAAATCATACTTGTACTGTATGATCAAGTTTTAGTCAGAAGCTCCAGCTGTGTCATTTCTCAAGAGGGTTCTGTTTAGACAGAAATGAACCTTCCTTGTTCCTTTCAAACAAATCAAATAAAACCCAACACTAACTTCTGTAGTCCTTCTTATAAATATTGATAGGAGATTTTAACTATTTTTTATTAGCATACTGCTCACTGACTGAATTTTAGCCTATTTCTTTCAATTAACTAGTCAGGTTAAAGTTACACTGCATGGTACAGACTGAAAAACCAATGGAATGCATATTCACCAAAAACAAAAAACCAATTTGAGTTTCCATGAAGAATCAATGTTAAATGTAGTGTAAGGATGGATCGATTCTGCAAAATCAGAGATGGTGATTTAAGCATCTGGTTTCAGTCAATGAAGGTTAGAAAGGGGCTGAGCAGTGAAGAAACACTGAGAAAAATCAATCCTAATTATATATCTACAAATCACTATTAACCTACCAATAATACTTTGTGAAAAGGATATTTCAGCTTTGGTCTTGAGATAAGAGTAGTTATCTTAATAATGGGATGACTTCAAATGAGTGACAGCATGTCAGCAGCAGTCATCAGCAGCTGGAGTTCTCCTTTCTGGTCATGGCTGTGCAGAAGTTGCCAGGGATTTGTTTGTTTAAAATAAATTTTGGTAAAGGCATGAGAGGAGTAAAGTTGTTTTGCTACTTATTTGTGTTTGCAGTTTCCATTTACATTGTGAAGATGGAGTCAGAAAGATGTAAGGGAAGACACTGTGAGGGAAAAGCAAAAATAAGATAAATACAGACAGCGGGGGAAGTCAATAGCGGGAGAGCAGGAGAGGAGTAAGAGCTGGAGACTGGAATGAAATTTAATGCTCGCAGGGAAGAGGTATGGAATGTCACATGAAGGAAATAAGCACAGAAAAACAGATTTATGTTCAGTGAAATAGCTTCCACAAGACCGGAATTCAACAATTGGATGAACTGCCTTGAGAAGCAGTGCTTTCTATTGTCGTAGTTTTTAAAACTTTTTTTTTATGTTTATTTTTGAGAAAGAGAGAGTGTGAGTGGGGTAGGGGCAGAGAGAGAGGGAGACACAGAACCCAAAACAGCCTTTAGGCTCTGAGCTGTCAGCACAGAGCCTGATGCGGGGCTCAAACCCACAAACCATGAGATCATGACCTGAGCCAAAATTGGACGCTTAACCACCCAGGCGCCCCTACTGTGACAATTTTGTAATGAGGGCTCAATGTTTGAGAAGGAATTCTATGAGTAATCAGTTAGACTAGATGGTGGCTAAGAAACTCTCTGAACTCTATTATTCTACCAGCATCAAGTCCATAATTTCTAGTTTCTTTTTCCTCTGTCAATCCACATGGGCACTTGATTCTAACTTTTTATTAACAGCTATTTCAGAATAGTTTTAATATAAAGCAGATACCCACAAGCCTGTTCAGGATACAAATATGTTTTTAATATTTATAAAGAAGTAATCTAGACACTTTACTACAGACCTCCTACTACCAGTTGCTCCTGTTTTCTTTCTTTCAATATGCTATTGCCCAAATAGTTTTGAGGAGGCAGTCATGAGATGAGTCCAAAATGTAGAGAAAAAGAATAGTCACCAGGCACTGGAGTTTTCCCTACTGGCCAGGGCTGTGCAGAAGTAGCCAAGAGCAGGGATACCCAAATAAAAATGAATAAAACTTCTTGCATGATTTCCACTCTTTTATTATCAAGATCATCAAAATCCTGAAAACTCGTGAGAAAATGCCTTAATATTTCAAAATAGCTTCAACTTACTGAGTATATACTGTGTTCACACACTGTGCTTACTATTTTATATGTCTGACACTTGACTCAACGTCAGAACACAGAATCACAGAATTTTAAAGTGGCAAAGTATGTCAGAGATTTTTAGTTCAACTCTTATCTGACAGATGGTAAGCCTATGACCAGGAAGGTTAAGTGATTCCCCAAGGTTTCACAGTTAGCTGGCGGCAGTCAGAACTTTAAACTCACAATCAGCATTAATGTCAACCTAAGTCATGGCTGTTTCTTCCAACTGCTAAAGCTGGATGAGACACAAAGCAGAAATTTTAAGTGCTAGTAATATGACAGAAGGGAGTGTACTTTCTCCAAACTCATTAAAAAGGTAAAAACCAAGTCAGCAGACAATCATAAACACTTGTCAGGTAAGGAGAATGCAAGAGCTGATCTAATGGGCATGTAAAAAAATATAGTTCTGGGGTGCCTGGGTGGCTCAGTTGGTTAAGCATCTGACTCTTAATCTCAACTCCGGTCTTTTATTTTTTAAGTTTATTTATTTTTTTTGAGAGAGAGAGACAGAGAGAGCAAGTGGAGGAGGGGCAGAGAGAGAAAGAGAGAATCCCAAGCAGGCTCCACACTGTTGGCACGGAACCCGATGCGGAACTCGAACTCACGAACCAGGAGATCATGACCTGAGCTGAAACCTAGAATTGGACACTGAGCTGACTGAGCCACCCAGGCACCCCAACTTATTTATTTTTTTAATTAAGGAAAAAAAGTTTATTTTTGAGAGACAGAGAGAGTACGAGCAGGGGAGGGGCAGAAGGAAAGGGAGACAGAATCCGAAGCAGGCTCCAGGTTCTGAGCTGTCAGCACACAGCCCCGTGTGGAGCTCAAACCCACAAATCGTGAGATCATGACCTGGGCAGGGGTGCAGTGCCCAGCTGACTGAGCCACCCAGGTGCCCCTCTCAGCTCAGGTCTTGATCTCAGGGTCACGAGTTCAAGACCCATGTTTAGCTCCATGGTGGGGTGAAGCCTACTTAA